TCGATAATGCAAAATCGCAATTTGACAAAATTATTTAGAAGTTCGGGATTTTGTCAATTAAATATATTCGTGAATTTGCAAATTGAAATTAAATATTTATTAAATAAATAAATAATATTTGTTAAATAAATGTATAATTAATATTACAAACATCGCGTTTTTTTTTCGTCTTTTTGATTTGAGGCGTGATTGCTATGTTATTGTCTTTCCTGTAAATACTAACGCGGTTCGTACTATCGAAGAAATGGGTCTTTATTGCAGAAATATAATTTCTCGTCGGTTCTTGAACAATTAATTTACAACGAATTCAATTTATTGCCTCGTTGAAAATTAAGGGTTTTCGTTGCAGAGCTGGAATTAAACCCAGGTTTTTTCGACAGTTCCTGGAAGCAATGGTTTCAACAATGAGTTAACGACAGATTTTTTTAAAGTCGAATCACAAAATTATAATTAAATAATATACTTTGAATAAAGAATTTTTTCTTCTTTTATTAATTCTTCTTCTGTTATTATTATTCTTAATATTAATATCGGTTTAAAAATTTTTTATCGCTTCGGAAAAGATTTATTGTTAGTAGTAAAGCATTGAGCATGGATATAGCTATTATGTAGAGATAAATATTAATTTACCAAATAGGTAAATTTAAATCGTAATTTATTTGTTCATCTATGAACTTTTTTTAACAAAATATATGGTTACGAACGAATATGTTTTATTAATTGATTTTTAATTAACTTTACTTTTGATCTCTTTTGAGAGATCATTTCTAGGTGTTGGACATCCTGCCATTTTAAGCCATTAATATTAATTTTTAAGTATAATTCGCTTGATATTTTATATAGAAAATTTGTTAGATATTTTACATGCAGGAAATATATGCGCAAAATGTGACACATTTGATAAAACTTTTCTTTTGTTAATATTATATCAATAATATTATATTAATACACACAAATATACATAAAATGTACAAGTAGTAAAAAATTCGAGGCTAGTCGAATGGGTACCCTGATATCAGAAAGATATCGACATATTAAAATATTATTAAATATATTATGAAAGAATTAATAATTTTTTATTTTACGTAGCGAAATATTTAAATACGAAATTTTTCAAAATCTTGCTGTTATTGGGTTCGACTCGTCTCGAACAGTTGGTACCCGAAAATTATTGTACTCGTACATTTAACAAGCGATGAATGCGCATATGTTTCATGATTCTTAATACTCGTTTGTAACCATGCATAGTTCCATAAAAATAGTTATATTATAATAGTTTTATTATTTATTAATAAAAAGACATTTCTAAATAATGGAAGAACATTTTTTCGCATAAATTTCAATCTTGTGAATGAAAGATGGTGATGATAATTGTCATTGATAATTGTCATTGAAATGTTAAAATCATTGCTATTGGGAGTAGTCTGGAAGATCTGAGATTCGTTCCATTTTGCAGCGGAACTCTTGACATTTAACGAGTCGTTTAATTTTCCTTCGCGGATCAATCTCGATAGAATTCTACGTAAAACATACGTTAAAAAAAAGTCGTTCTCTACATTTAATATTGTTCTTCTATCTGTCGGATATTAACTGACGATCGGGCGAAATTATTTTAATCTTTCGAGTTGTTATCATCAGATTATCCGCGAGATATTTTCGTCTTATATTTAATTGCAATTATTATTTTTTTACTTGATCGTTGGCTTATACAAAATTTCGCTTATTTTTTCACGTGTCAAACTTTCTTAAAAAATTAAAATGTATCAATATAAATACTTTTCTTTTTGTATTTAAAAGATATAATTGTTGATAAGATATAATAATTAATGAAGAAATATAATAAATAATGTAAATGTATTGGCGATTTTTTCATCGCAACTTATTCATATTACGCAATCCTTAATAAGTTTTGTAATGAAAAGTTGATAATTAATCAATATCACGAATAATTTGAATCGTCTGTTTGAAAATCATTTGATTTAATTTTGAATGAATGTTGTGTGCATTTCAGACATTTTCGTGTAATTTTGTATCATAAGATATTTTGTACTAATTTATAAATATTATAATTATATTTATAAATTATATATTGTAATTATAAATAATTATATAAATATTATAAATTCTTATCATAAATATATTGTATATGTTGTAAATATTATTATATATCGTAATAATATTTTATAAACTATTTATGTTATATTTTATAGTTCAATTATTGTATATTTTATATTGAATATGAATTATATATTAATTGTGTTAAATACACACAATAGTGTATATTGTATATATTTTCAATACTTTATAAGTAAAATAATTTTATAAAATAATATGTAATAATTTATATAATAATTTTATAAAATAATTTTATAAAATAATATGTAATAATTTATATAATAATTTTATAAAATAATTTTATAAAATAAGATATTTTGTATTAATTTATAAATATTACAATTAATATATTATAATTATATGTAATTATATTATATAAATATATTATATTTTATAAAATATGTATGTTACTTTCTATAGTTCAATATTATTATTGTATATTATATATTGTATATTTCTCTTTATTTTATCAAATAATATTATATTTATTATATTTAAATAAAATAATTATAATAAAAATTTTACCTCCTCGATGGTATCTCCACCTTAACGAAGGCATTTGCCGGGTGAGGAGGTTTGAGTACTCTAATGATCCGGAGAGCTATGTCGGCGGTAATGTATTTAGATAGTAAAAATAATTATTTTTATGTCATTTTCATTATGTCAAATCGCGTCAAAATGAGATCAAAATGACTATTTTTGCTATCTAAATAGTTACCGGTAAGGTCACCTATGCCGGACAGGTCGAAGGGGAAGAGTGAGACTAAGAGAGATACTGTAGTTATTTAGTAATGTTTTTAATAAAAGCTATATATATATATATACATACCATATATATTAATGACGAAAAATAAAATCCGTGCTTAAGGATTGAAACATCTTTTTACAGACACAACAAAATTTTCATACGATATAATGTAAAAGAATTATATGAAAAAATTAACAAAATAATTAATAATATGTATTACTTAATTTTTTTTTCATGTAAATTCTTTGTTATGTATGAAAAATTCTCTTCTTTTTTGCGTAGAATTTCTTCTACATTTTTATTTAAAAATGTTTTGCAAATATATGTCTTTACTATTTATTTTATTATCAAGAGTATATATAATTAATATGTTTATTAAAATTGCATGTTATCTAATATATAAAACATGCAAATATGTAACTGTATTCTTTCATATTATAAAATAATTTTTTCATTATTTTTATGGTTGCCTAGTTGAAAGTATATCATCATGTTTTCAATGCGTGATTAATAATTAATTATCTTTCATAAAAAAAATATATTTTTTGTAACTACGTATAACGCGATATATTTCGAAACGCATATTTCGCGTAATTTATTTATTTAATCAAGTAAAACTCGTAATGGCAAATTCAAAATAATAAATTATTGTTTTGATATGAAATCGATTTATACGAGCAAAAGTTTTTTTTAATAATATTAATAGTCAAATAAAATGTGTACGGAACAACTTATCGTTTTATATTTTGGCCATCTAAATATAATCCAGAAAATGCTCGATTAAAATAATCTAGTCATAGATCTAAATAATTAATATAATGGAAGGTTCCATAAAATGTTATATATATATATATATATATATATATATATATATATCTTTTAATAAATAATTATTTTATTATTTTATATAATCTATAAAAAATATTTCTTTCCCTATATTCTAATATTCCACGCATGTATATGTTAAAGTATGTAAAATATTTTGACAATGAATAGACAATAACATGGTGATCGACCTTAATGGCGGGTTATTGTTTATACACATCATGATCTGGTGTTAGTCGCACAATGATACTCGAATAGAAAAGTAGCGAAATGTTCCGTTATTTCTTTTCTAAACGCGATTGTGATAAATATCAAAAAGTTGTTTGTTATAATAACATAATAAGTAATTAATCTTTACAACAATAATATGTAACTATATTTATAGTGAAGTGAAAGTTGTAGTAATAGAAATTCAAAATAATAAATAATATATTATCGTTTCGAAATCGATCTATACAGAATATATCGATATAAACAGAAATTATTTAATAATGTTTTGTTAGAGTCAAATATAATTCGTTCGTGATGTTTATTATTTTATTTTTTTATTATTTAAATATAATTCGGATTTATAAAAGACTTAATCATATATTAAAAGATTTTATATATGTTTTATATATTTTATATATAATCTTTTAATAAACAATCATTTAATTCTATATAATCTAAAATATTTCTCTATATATATATTTTAATATTCGCGTATATACACGTTAAAGTGCGTAAAATATTTTGGCAATGAATGGACAATAACACGGTATTTGATTTTAGCAGCGTAAAGTGTTATAGCGCATTAGTGTTTACATGTCGTGGCTTTCATATCATTCGTATCACGACACTCGAAGAATACAGAGTAGTGATGTGAAATACTTCGGCCTAAAGCCCAGTTGCATCAACATTATTTTAGCTTTTAATGAAACTTAAATATGTGTCTCTCTATCTTTATTTATTTAGAAAGAAAGTTAAAGATAGATATATATTTAAGTCTCGCTTAAAGCTAAAATAACGTTGGTGCAATCGGGCCTTAGTCTTCTCTCTGTCATCGCAGAACTTTACTCAAGGCTGTTCAAGACCGAATGTTTCCAAGTGTCTGGATGTTCCGCTTGACGTTTGGAGGTTTCGTTTTGTCGACCAATCAGGACGCGAGATTTCTTTGCTCCGAAACCCGATTGACGACGTCGCCAATTGGCCAATTCAAAATAGAACTCTCTGATTGGTTAATCGTTGCTGGTTACCCTAGGCACAGGTCGATACGATTGGCTGCGGTCAATCGGGACGTGGACAAACGGGACGCTCCCGCGATTGACACTTGACACTCTTGACAGTTCGCGCCGCGGACCGTTGCGGAAGTGATGCTCGGGAAAAACAGCGTTTGAAAACACATGGAGAAGATGCGGAAGGTCGCGTCCGCTTGTCGTTATCGCGTGTATATACGGTGAATATCGGGCGGATACCGAGGTAACGCATAAAATGAGACGTTATGTTCCATTCGGTGCGACTTCTTAACGGGCTGCTCATCCTTCTGCCGACGATCGCGTTCTGCGATGGCGCGAACGGGACGTACGAGATCGACTGCAATAATCTACGAATGGGACAGTACATCTGTCCCCATCCCGATTACGATTTCATAGACCCCAAGACGCAGCAACCACGCGGCTGCACCAAGGAAAACAAGGCCAAAGGTAAGCTCGATCTCGGTCGAGCATCCTAACCTCTATTTTAGACATCTTATTCATGTGTACATTTCTTTATTTTTGTTTTTTTTTTGTTATTCGTACATTTAATATGAAACTGATGTACACTCAGACGTTGGGAGAAGGAATAAGGATGCGGAGAACGCAATTAAGAAACAAATCTATTGTCTATTTTCATGTCTCTGTAAATCTTGGTTGCGTTACATTTCCTTTGGTTGTGTTATTCTTTTGTATTATTACATTTAGAGACAATTATTTATCAACGTGCTAGAGAATCTTTATTTTATAATAAGATTAAACATAGATTCTTTTTTTACTAGTGTTATGTCTAGTTGCCGATGGTCTCATCTGTTCAGAGACGAAAAATAATACTTTCAAGAAGGATATACCATGTAAATGGACGTAAGTATAATTTGCATCGTTTTAGATAAGCATAGATAAGCTAGAGTTTCTTGAGAAATATTATAGGCGAAAGTTAAGATATTTACTTCAGAATAATTGTTCTTAGGAATGGATATTCTTTCGAGACATCGTTATTGCTGTCGATATTTCTTGGTATGTTTGGCGCGGACCGATTTTATCTTGGATATCCTGCCTTGGGATTACTCAAGTTGAGCACATTGGGGTTCCTTTTTCTTGGTCAATTTGCTGATGTAATACTGATAGCTACACAAATTGTAGGACCAGCGGATGGTTCGCACTATGTGATGCCATATTACGGTGCCGGAATTAACATTGTGACGAGCAACAATTTTACGTACAGAGTGCCACAATACGAATATTGAGAGCAAGAAGCAAATCCGCTGTACAAATGGGAATTTTTTTAAAATATTATATCTCTTCTATACCGCGAACAACGATGTACAATCCTAAACTCGAATCCTATATTTCGCTATATATTTGAATGTAAATTAGTTATTCTCTTTATTACTATACTATATTAATAACTATTCCAATGAATAAGTCGAATATTAATTTGTATATATACATCTCAACGAAATACTGTATATAAGAATTTACGCATTGCTAGGTAATATAATTGAATAATAAATTTATCGCTTTCGTTTCTACGTTCTGTTATCTTTCTCTCAATTTTAATCAGTTCTTTTCAGAATGTATAGGTAGCAGCAATCAAGTTTTGAATACTGCTATTATGACTTAATCGACCTTGGACGATTTATCGCGAAACTGTAAACTATACCTCATATCATGCACCGTATTCGCTTCGTGCGATTTCTTATTCGTCCTTAATCTCATTCTTCTGATATAAACGCGGAAATAAGAACGCTTATTATCTAACATTCGTTATATTATCACATATATTATCACTTTGTATTGTTGAAAATTTCGAGACAATGTGAATCGGAAATATACATTACACATACATGTTACTATTTCGTGTTGTGTACTTGTAAATCGGCACGTTTTCGATATGAAAATATATATCTGTACACACATATACATATTCTCTCTTTGGAAGCTTTTTTAAGAAATTATCATTTCATGAGAGTTAAAAAACAGAAACGACTTATTAAATCAGTGTTCTGGAAGATATATTGTTGAAAGACGAGTCGCTCTGCATCATGACTTCATTTAGAGAAATTATATTTCAACTTGTACCACTGGGAATTATACTATATTTAACATATATGACAGTACATCATTCATTAAATGATTATAAAGTAAGTACTTTTTTATTTATTACATTTTATATATAATTTAACTGTACAATTATATGTCTAATATATATATAAATTAGGCATATAATTGTATTATACATATGTATACATATATATATATATATATATATATATATATATATATATATATAAAGGTATAAGAAAAATAAACTGCAAATATATTTGTCACTTTGCAAATTTATGGACTTTTAAAATGATAAGAATGTAATACAAAAATTTTGCTATTAATATTTATCTATATAATATATATATATATATATATATATATATATATATATGTATTATATGGATAAATATTAATAGCAAAATATAATATTTTTGTATTACATTCTTATCATTTGAAAAGTGATAAATATATTTGCAGTTTATTTTTCTTATACCTTTTACATATATTTAAAAAAAATAATTTTTGCAGTATATTAACGCGGGGGAAAACAATGTTAAACTACAAGTGTCTCGGCATCAACGAGCGATTAGACCCGATCAAATACGTTATTGCAAGGTCAATCAGTATTACGATCAGGAGGAAAAACGTTGTCTAGGCGTGCCTGGAGGTGGTAAAGTGCTTCACGTTGAAAATGGACAATCCTGCGGTGTCAATATTTTGAAACCACATTGCACCAGCTCCCTATATTATCACATTTGCAAGCATGACAAGTCGATCCTAGCGCAATGCGCGAATCGACAGATCTTCGACAGTCGTCTGCAACGATGCGCTTATTATGATTCAAGCAAATTGACTCCCAGCACTATTCGACCGGATGATTACAAGTATTACGAACATGTTAATGTATTAAAATCATTTTCGATACCAAACTGCACGAGACTTGGCCAGTTTCCCGTACCCGATCATTGTTCTATGTTTTACACATGCGATACAAATGGACATACATTGCATCAGAGCGTCTTCAAATGTCCGCGAAATATGGGATACCAAGCAAATAGACAAGTCTGCGCTGTCGTAACAGATTGTGAGAATAATGATTCGGTAGACACCGCAATTTGCGTTCCAGATGCGCCAGGTGAGAATGTGGAATCGTTAAACTCTAAAGAAGCTATGGAAGAAAATGTCGAAGAAACTACTGGAATATCTGAAGAAAGCGAATTCAGAAATGTAAGCGATTCTGCCGCGAAAAAGGAAGAAAGCGTAAATTCCAACATCTATGATGACGTTATCTCTACCCCTGAAAGTATAATAGACAATCCACTATCAGTGGACAATTATGAAGATAATAATGACGATTTGTATAAAGTAAGTTCATCGCCCACGCAACCAATTCAAGACATTTCAACGTCTGATGGTATTGATGAAATGTCAAGTCAAGCATTAAGTCCAACCGAAAGTGCGCGAGAAATACAGAATGAGAAAGACGATTCGATATTGGATTTACGAATTACATCACCGCCAACGGTAGAATTCCGTGATAATGCGTACATAATGACACCAATGACCTCGACACCAGAATATAATACAGATATAAATTCCAATGTTGATCCTGAAACAGCTGATACTCCATTTTCTACAGTCAATTATAAGTCACTAAAATTAGATGACAGAACGCAGGATATAACAACGGAACCGTACAACGACGATGAAACAGCGACATTACCGAATTCAAACATTGAAACTCTTGATTCGTATTTACCAACGAACACCCCGTTCTCTTCAATCAATGATAAGTCATTGAAGATAGATGAAGAAACGCGGGATGTGACTAGAGCAGTTGATTCATACCAGACATCAACGATAAGTAATGTACCAGAATCTTCCCCGATCATTGATATACCCTCGAAATTATATGAAGAAATGCAGGATACAACAGAAGAATATAGCAATAATGATGATAAAACAATGGCATTACTAAATTCAAACACTGGAGCAATTGATTCAACATCCACAATAAGTAGTATATTAGAATTTCCTTCAACCAGTGAAATCTCTAAATTATATGAAGAAATGCAGAGTGCAACCACAGAACAATACAATAATGATGACAGAATAGTAACACCATCAAATTCTAACACTGAAGTGGTTGATCAGAACCCAATATTAAGTGATATATCTGCAACTACAAATAATCCAAGTGATTTTGATACATCTACATTAGCATCTGCGATTTTACCACAAGCAGACATTAATGACGATCAGTATACCAAAGATCTATTTAAAACTTCTCCTTCGGTTGATAGTAAACTTGTCGATCCTAATTTTGATGTGCCGGAAGCAATCGAAAGTGTTCCTACCGGATATTCATCCGAACATATTGACACTTTAAATTTAGCGACGACAATATCTCCCCCACAAATGGACATAACACCTACAATAAAAGATCTACCTGCTATTTCAGATACAGATCTGATAACACAGAATGGTAAAGATAGCACAGAAGCATCACCTTTCATTGAACAAGATGCTCCAATTACAAATAATTAATATTATAAATGCATTCATTTTATATATATATATTTTGTTAGGATACATAAGTATCAATATAGTAGATAAAAGATAATAGATAAAAGATATGTGTAAGGATACACATTACACTATAAATATTATCTAGAGAAAATAATAATTTATTGTAATCATTTGTAATTTGTTTCTCACTTCTGAGGTAGTTATTAACATAATTAATATAATACATAAAATATTTTTCTGTACACACATATACACACATACATTATGATACAAAGGAAAAATTATTCTACGAAACGGAAAAATAAAAAATATAGCTTACTATCATTAATCGTTTATACTAAAATAGTTTTGCACATGATCTTAAACATCATTACATATTTTCCTTTTCTTGCTCGTTTACGAGTGTATAATAAACGCTTTTCCGTTTAATTAATTCTGAATGTGTGCCCATCTACAAGAGAAAATAAAAAGAAAAAATGTATATTTTATTTACATGTTATCCAATAACAGCATCAATCTAATGACATTAATTTTATCGATTAAAGCATACCTCCACTATAACACCGCGTTGTAATACAACGATTACGTCAGCGCCTTTAATGGTACTTAATCTATGAGCGATCACAAGTACCGTTCTACCTCTCGTAGCATTTTCAATCGCCTTTTGAACGATTCTCTCGCTTTCATAATCCAATGCGCTATATAAAAAATGGAGATGAATAAGCACAGTGAAGACAAGTTTTATATTATTTTATCATTATTTATATACCTTGTAGCTTCATCTAGAATTAAAACAGATGGTTGTTTTAGCAAAGCCCTGGCAATAGCAACCCTTTGCTTTTGTCCGCCAGAGAGCTGCGTACCTCTCTCGCCGACCTCAGTCTCATAACCATTTGGGAACTTTGTTATAAATTCGTGCGCATTTGCTTCTTTAGCTGCCTCAATGACCTGAATTGATAATTAAATATGTAAAATATATTATAGTCATTTATAATTGCACAATATCTTATAATTACAGTATCACCTCATCATCTGTAGCATTTTGCTTCCCAAATCTAATATTTTCCATTATGCTGGTAGCAAATAAAGTAGGCTCTTGATTTATGTAGCCAAAAACATTACCTCTGAGATAACTCGAATTAAGAGATCTAATATCACGACCATCAATAGTAATGGAGCCTTCATCAACATCATAAAATCTATAATAAAATTATATATATTTATATATATAATTTTCTTTATATATATTTACATATTTTATATATCTCTCTGATTATTATGGATTGTACCTTTCTAATAATGCAGCCACAGTTGATTTACCGTTTCCACTGGTACCGACAATAGCCACGGTTTTTCCAGCAGGAATATGTAAATTAAAATTTTTTAAAATAATGTGATCCGGTCTAGTGGGGTAGCTAAATTTTACATTTTCAAAAACTATATTTCCTGCCATAGATTGATCCGTGATTATATTACCGCCGGTCATCATTGGCGAAGGTGGCATATCTAGATACTATAAGATATTTAGGGTTTTAAAACTTTCTTTCTTATGTGAACAAGGCTGCATAATTCGAATAAGATACCTGGAAAACTCTGGCACCTGCACTTTGTCCTCTAACAAAGGATCCAAAAAGCACTGATAATTGGCCTAGAGATTTCTGTATGGTTTGTGTAGCCATCAAAAATGCCATAAGATTTCCTGGAGACAATTCTCCTGTAGAAAGCAACTGCCCGCCAAAATATAGCGTGGAAAGTAAAATACCGTTAAGTAGTAAATTCGTTCCTGCTTGAAAGAAGCCTATACCAAAACCTAATCGTTCGTAAAGCTCAGACGAACGTTCAACTTCTTTGTAAAACATTTCCGCCTCTTTCTCTTCCGCAGCAAAAGCTCTCACCTGATAAGAATAAAGTATAAAAATAAAATTTTATAGCATACCTTTTTAATTAACTATTTATTTCTAATACCGTTCGGATATTTTGTATAGCTTCTTCGCAAACGGCAGTTGATTTTGCAACTTGATTTAGGGCCTCCATTGATAGCTTGCGTAAACTTCTTCCCAGGAGAGTACCAATAAAAATTATTGTTGGCAAACTAAATACTACAAGAGTAGTCAATTGTGGTGATATCACTATTACAGAGATGACACAACCAATAATTTGTGTGAGGCTTCTCAAGCCCTGAGCAATGCAAGTTTTAAATGAGCTCTTAAAATCTTGAATATCACTAGTTAATCGACTTACTATTTCACCTGAACGTGTTTTATCAAAGAACTCTATATCTTGCATGATAATCGACTTGAACAAATCTTGACGTAAACTCACTGCAACTCTCTCACCCACGTGAGAAAGTGTATAAATGTATACAAAGGTGAAAAATGCCTGGAAAAATATTGAAATTTATACAAATGAGAATATTTGATTGAAAAAATTATTATTCTAATTATATTACATACTTGCGCAATATACATGCGTGCCAAAACAAAAGCTGGTTGAGTTAGTTGCATGAAAATTTCATTGGTAGAATCACTTTTGCTTTGACATATTTCTGTGAGGACATTTATGACACTTCCAACGCATTGTGGTATTTGAATATTTAATAGTGCAACTATCAATGCACTCTATAAAAAAAAAATTAAGAATATTATTATTTGCATAATGTGGGATTTATAAATTGCAAGTACTTACTGATAATGCTACTAATAAGTACCAAATATGTGGATATAAATATTTAAAAAATTTTTCCCATTCAAAAGTCAGTTCAGGAGTGTCAGATTTTATGTCGCTAATTCTTTTGGCCTCTCTACAGAGCACAATTTGATTACGTGATCTCAAAATACAAGCAGTTGTTACTCCAAGTCCACCAAGGCCAAATTTAAAAATATATGAGAGAACTGACTTTGATTCATTTATATTTTCTTTGGAACACTTTCGAGTACTTTTAATAAATTCACGTTTTGCAATTCCCCATATATTTTGATTCTTTCCTTGTAGAACATATTTCTGTAATGGATATCTGAAATATTTTATTAAAACTCATTTAATAGTATTATTTTTAAATAATATATTTAATTTATATTATTATATTAAATAATTCCATCCATAATAATAGTACTACTGTATCTATAGTAGATACAGTAATATATGACTCCTTGTATTTTTATAAATATTATACTTATATTATTTTTAAATATTTGATGAATACAATTAAGTATGATATAAATAAATTTATAATTACCTTGAAATTATCGAGGAATTATTATGACATTTAAATAATACAGCGCGTAACATGGACATTTTTATAATAGAATTTCTATTGCTATCGATATTATTTATTATGTCGACATGTATTTCGTAGCTTTTGTAGACTTTGTATTTATTAAGTTTGCATTAATATTAATATATGCAGATATGTTAAAGAGATTTTTTATTTAATGATTAAAGAGGTTATAATAAGAATAATATCGGACCAAGGGTGCCGCCATATTTAACGTATCCAGTAGTTCCATGAATTTCTCACAGATAGCGCTCAATGTGTTTTTTAAATTGCGCCATTATAAACAGCCATTTTTATATTCGCGTGCATACTTATGTGCATCGTTCGAAGTTAAAAGTAAGTTGTAATTTTGTAAAAAAGAAGTTGTGAATAACAAATATATTTTCAATATTTCAGTGGGTGACGAAGATATTACGAAGAAATCTGTTTCTTCGAAGAGACTCGATTGTTTCATCAAGATCAATTAGAGCAAGTAGGATAGATTGGAGAGTCTCGCATGTAGTTGCACGGTAAATGCGGTTCAGACATCGTACATAAGGTAAGATTATTTTATGTAAAATATACACCAGCAAGATACAGAGAGAGAGATTGCGTTGAATCGCGAATTGCATCGCGATTATAATAGAGATAAATGGGGCATTTAGCGAAAAGATAAAAACTTAATAAAAACTCGTTAATTTCCTAGGTAGAACGTGAAACTCATAATGACATCATTATGACGTCACCTAAAAGTCTTATTTTAGAAAAATCATAATGATCTCATTTGATATACTTTTGGCAATGTTTTGGTGACTTATTTATGATATTAAACAATTCTAGCGAACTCTGTTGGAGAATATATATACTTCGCGTATGAAATCTTAAGAATCAATCATAATATCATTTTTTATATATATTACGCAATTGTTTATTTAATTATTCATGCATATTTTAATTATTTATGCATATTTTAAGCAACATAATCTTTTTAAAATTATATAATGCGATTATTGAATTTAAAAATTTATGATTCTTTTTGTCATCTTTAACTCATTTTTTAATCATTTTTGTTCAGGTAACTTTTAAGTGATAAATAAAATCATGATGACGTCATAATGATGTCATTATGAGTTTCATGTTGTACCTGGGTTATTCGATGAAGTCGTAAAAATCCTTCGATATCTCTATAAAAAAAAAACTCGCCTCTTTTATTATTTGCAACTTTCCCTTTGTCGAAAGCCCCGTCAACAATTCCCGATATCCTTGACATAATAAAAGTAGAAGACTTTGGAATCGGAAACATATATGTCGCGTGTGCGTGGGTGTATATGCGTGCGGATAAAAAAGCTCGAAAATTGCGTCTCGATGAAGGGTCCGCGGCCGGATGAATGGCATGCGCTGGGCCTTAAAAGACCTAATCGTCCCGGCAAACTCTTTGAGCGGCGAGTTAATGACGTGTATTTATGTATTCGCCGCGTTTAATTGCCTGTGTGGCTATTAGCGCTCTACTTCGCCTTCTCTCCCCTCGCGGTTGAATACTACTTGCGATATAGGGGTGAGTATTTGATCGCTTGCTGCTGGAATTGCCTAATCTGGGAAGACAAAAATGATTGTAAAGGAAGCATTTAGCACATTTCTCTCCTTCTTATGCTTTAAGAGATTGTTTAATTCAAAATTGATTTGAAAAATTTGAAACTTCAGAAAGATAATATGTATGTACTTATTTATATAAAATCTAATTTCTCTGCATTTTTTCGGAGAATTC